TATGGGATGGGTGTGTGGGGGGGAGGGTATATGGGATAGGTGTGTGGGGGGGTATATGGGGATATGTGAGGGAGAGGATGAGATAGGGGGCAGGTGCATTACTGAGGCTGCCTTGGTGGATGTTCGGTGGATGGAGTGTCGCGGGTGGACTGTAGTGAGGGCAACATGGCGTAAACCGATCAGGAACCTCAAAGATATACAAATACATAAATCGAGGACAAGTGTAGTGGTCAGCTGTTGACTGTACCAGCACATACAAACAAAGTAGAAAGGATCAAATCAATACTAAGTGCAAACGAAGAAACAAGCAAATATATACAAATGCAGAAATCGAGGACAGGTGTAGTGGTCAGCTGCAGACTGTACCAGCACATACAAATAAAGAAAAAAGGATTAGATCAATACTAAGTTAGAAAAGAAGAAATCACAGACAAGTCATTGAACGACAGGACATATATCTCACCTAAATAGACAAACAAGGAGCACCAGAGACCGGCGATAAAGGCGCAGACGAAGGTCGTCAGTTTCTCAATAGACTGGAGGTATCTGTGGGGATGAGAAGGAGCGGAGAGCAACGCAAATGGCGAATAAGGCTAACGAAGACAATGGTAACAGCAACTGGGGCGATATACAGAGAGTGTGTATATAGATTGCCCAGTTGCAATCATCTTGGCACACCAGAATGGAAGCGCTGAAAGGAAGAAGAAAACCCCGCACAGTGATACTATGAAACTCTTAAAAAAAAACGTATGAACACGTGCGCTGTAGCAGGAAGACGCCAGGCGTTCGGACCTTGGTCGTCAAGCAACGGAGCAAGTGTGTAGGTACGATCCGCTACGCAATAGGGTATTGGTACATCAGTTAAACATCTAATGGATCTGCCGACATTGGGCTGTGGGCCAATGCATCGATGTCAGCCCCATGACACACGGGCAGCAGAGCTGGAGCACAGGTAGAGCTCAGTATGTCACGAGGGTTCAGTACGAACGATACACCCAACTGTACATGCACGGGTGTACACACACACAACTGTATGAAAGTGTGCAGAATGCCCCAGACACAAGTAGTTGGGTCTGTTATTACACATCGCGAGTTATGATAACTACTGCCAGCGAATATAGCGTGTGTGGACAAATTCGAGAGATTAGTCTGGTACTCACCCGTACGACTGCAAGCCCAGCACCAGGCTATTAAAGCCACCGGTTATAATTCCGAGGTAGATGCAACTCAGATCCCCACCAAAGAAGAATATAGCAAAGCCTATCGCATAGGGAACCTACGGACAGTGCATGCAGCAACAAGAGCGCGTCATATGAGACCTCGGTGCACGGCAGGCTTACAAGTGTACCATATAGCATCCATGACAAGGTGAAGATGTAGCGCTGTTGCATATTTTGGGCTGTGCCACTGAATGTCGAGGTATTCGTGCATGGAACAATTGCAGATGGGTTCAATTGGTAATACGGCTCGATCGTACTAGCCCAATGTCTACTACCAACAGCAGTGTTTTTAGGAGGTGGCTTTCAAACGGTACACTAGGTGGTGCTAAATAGCCACATCTGCAACATCAAACGCCCCGACAATGGCGATGTATATGCCAAACCATGGCTTCGAACAATGACAACGCATATGTTAAAAACATGCTAAATAACGCCTCCTGAAGACAATGCCCCGAAGGGAACTACTGCCGCGCTATATTCAAAGCGTTTAACGCTGAGTGGCAGACCATTGTGCTTAGGTGAGTGTGCTCGACTGACATACCTGGCATAAATGTCTGAGAGGGCGCGCATATAGTTCTTTAAGGAGCTGGATCTCTGCGATCTTCGCCTCCGCATAGTCGAGATCGGCGAATCCCTTGATGATTTTCTGTAGTAAAGGCAACACAAGGGAAACAGCCGACCGAAGTATTGAGTGCGTGTCAGTGGTATTAATCTGAGGGCCAATGTCTAAACGAGTATATACCTATACATACAGTCCGTAATAACATGCATCGCCACATCACCGCTCCGAGTTTAAGGTGTCACGTGTCGAATGCACGATGAAACTACCCCCTATGCATTGGTTTGAGTGTGTGTGCAAGTGAATGTACCAGCAAACGAGAACATCGAATAGTGTACATGCATTACATACGATGGCCAGTTTCCGAACGCGCGCCAGCCTATCCATGTTGACGCTCTTATCCACATCTGTTGTGGTCAAGCGGTTCGGATGAGTACCCATGTATATACGAGACAAATAGCACCACAACTGTCATCGTAGGACTGCTGGTACCCTAGAAAGCGTAGGTGCAAAAACAAGGAACTCGCAGAATCAACCACTCGAGCACAAATAGGTAAACATACTCACAAACTCGGTATTCCGACCAGTAATGAGGAAGAATCCTGTTGGGGCGAGACGGATCGATGTTTCATGGTTGCCTGCGTCGAACGGTGCCACAAGGAAAGTCAGGTGACAATATCTAATCCAACTTTATTCCTACAACCCCTCCCCCGAGTCACTCATATGGGGCATGGGGGTTCTTCAAAGGTGCTAGAGTGAGTATATGTGTGCCACGTCTGTCTGTGTAGGTACGGAGAGGTCTCCATGTAGAAGACCTAAATGTATGTAAAACCCTAAAACCCAAAGTATGTAAAACCCTAAAACCCAAATGTATGCAAAACCCTAAAACCAAAACTGGTACAGTGTATGTATACACGTACACTGTAGACAGTATATTATAAAGTACAGGCGCACTACATAAACAGGTACACACACGCGCACTCTATAAACAGGCACACACATGCGCACTCTATAAACAGGCACACACACGCGCACATTATCAATTGGACACACATATAGACACACACACGTTCACATGTTCATTTAAAAACACATACACACACACACACGTGTACGTTTTCAGCACGCACACACAGCATGATACATACGCAAATGCACACGCGCACGTTTATAAGCCCCTACCAAAAGATTGTGCCAAGTAGAAAGAAAACTCCTCAAGGCTATGCGCTGGACTACCGTACTTATACAGATCATGAATCAGCCATTTCAGTAGATCGTATCTGTATTTAAAAAAGAAAACAAGAAAAATACCGATGCAAAACGGTCAGGTTTTAGGGTCATAAGGATCTAACGATTGCCCTACTACAATCGCTTTT